GTGCAGCGGTTTGTCTCTCGCCTTGAAGGGACCATCTTGAAGCACTCCAGATCACTGGACACCCAGAAACTTTACTGAGGTGGCCAGTCCCTTAGTGCTTGTGGGGATGGTTTGTCACTCTCTTGATTCTTATGTCTTACTAAGGTATCTAAAGTACTTGTTGCTTCCTGCTCTCCAGATTCATTCAGCATAATGTCATCACTGTAGTGGACCACTGAGATGTTTTGTGGAATGTCAAGCCGATCAGGATCTCTGTGGATTGTATTATGACAGAGAACAGGAGAGTTGAAATAGCCCTGAGGCAAGGCTTTGAAGGTGTACTCAGGTACAAGCCAGGTAAAAGCAAACTGCTTCTGGTGGTCCTTACCACTGAAATGGAAAAAAAGCATTAACCAGGGCAATAGCTACACAGCCAGTGCTAGGGGCTGTGTTGATTAGTTCCAGTCAAGAAACTGCTTCAATTGCAATCACCACCTGATTACATTTATTATCCATAGTTATTGTCTAAAATTCGTCTGATTTCAGCACAGACCCAACAGGCAAGCTTACATGCATATTTTAAGTCTTTGGTGGTGTTACTGATTTTTGCATTTCACAGACTTGAGGTTTTATTTCTGGTTTGTTGACTTGATAGAGTGGGGAATTTCTAGGGCTTTCACTTAGTTCTAATCATAATGACTCTTAACCCAAAGATTATAGACCCAGTGTGGAGAAGTCTACCAATTGCCTCGTGTATCCATTTGAATTCAGTAATTGGGTAGGATCCACAGTTAACCTGGGTCTACTGTGAGTCACACTTGGGCTAAGACTTCATCTGTCAATTGACCACCATAAGCTCCCCCTTTGTGTTCTCTAGAATTAGCATCAATTCTGAGCCTATGTCTAGCAATCCCTTAAAGTTTGGATATTTCCTTTTCCCCAGTTCACATTCATTCTAGTAAGTGGCTACAGATTCTTCAGAGAAAGATATACATTCTATACTTGTGGCAGTGCTGAAGGGACCCCTGCCCAGTGGAACCTAGACTTCCTTTTAGTCAAGGTGCTCTGAGTGTCAGAATTGATCTGAATACTGGCTGGAAATCTGTGGTTCTCCATTGTGGTGACTTCATTCAGGATTTTAGTGATCAGGTGTGGAGTGTTTTATTATATAAATCAAACGTTAACCTAGAGGCCCAATAAATGTGATTAATTGGGCACCAACAGAAATCTCCTAGGCCAAAATATTCTGACTGGCACATCCCTGCTGCCCTTATCTGTATAAGGCCAAAATATTCTGACAGGCACATACCTGCTCCCCTTATCTGTATAAGTATTTACCTTCTCTTGGTGCTTTTAAGTGCTGCTCTTGGCCTCTGCTCCTCCAGGTTTACTTCTGCTAAATCAGGGAGCCTATATCAATAGTAGTGTCTCCTGTCATCATGCCTGACCTACGCAGAAAAACAAGCTGCCCTTATTTAATAGATTTCTTTCTTTCTTTCTTTTCTTTCTTTTTTTTTAAAATAGATTTCTTAGTACGTCAGTAAAGGGACTCTCCTAGATTTTCTTGGAGGATATAGTTGGTGACTAGGTAGGCAGGTGGTATATGAAAAATACACTCTAGCACTCTTACTTCCCAAAGCTTTTAGATTCTTTCATCTACATCAAGGGTCAACCCATCAATCAACTCTGGCATACATTCTGATTTTGTAAATTAAGTTTTCTTGAGTCACAGCTATGCCCATTTATCTATATATTGCCTAGAACTGCTTTCACACTGCAATTGCTGAGTTGAATAGGTGTGACAGAGACCATATGGTCCGCAAGGTTGAAAATATTTAGTATCTGGTTCTTTAAGAAAACATTTGTTGATCTCTGCCCTAGAGTATGCTGCAGTTTGACCCAAGTTATCAGTCTAATGACAGCAAAGGAGTGGTTGGGGTGATTCTTCCGAAAGATGAGCACTTCCCTGCAAGGCAACTACCCCAAAAGGTCAGACTTCTCAAACACAGGGAAAGCAAGGTATTTGTGCTGGAAAGTGAGACGCTCAGACTATCATAGAAATTCAAGATTCTCAACTTTGTCTGAGTCCAGCCAGATGTCCCCATCCTGAATTTCAGAGTCCCAAATTAATGCCCTAACTTTCACATAAAAAACTTGATGAGACTGTCCATTCAGTTGACATTGTAAATTTGCAACTCATACAATTAAATTTGTGTTTAACTTTTAGTGATATCAGTCCTGTGGATTTAGACCTGCTGTAAAAGCTTTCTCTAGACCATGACTCATGCTGAGAGTCTTAGGACCTGAGCTGGTTAATTCTTTCTGTACATGCTCCACACTCTCAGGGAAGTCTATTGCATACCACCATCTTGATAGTCGTCATTAAGGGAGTGGTTGAAGGTAGCAACTTCATGGGTGCCCAAGGCTCTTGCCTCAATAAACACCTCAGTAGACTCTTGATCACTGCAACAAAAGGAGATAATTTAATTGTGATGATAGTGTGCACCTTGGACTGCTAACCTCCTGCTTTCCCATGGGTGAGGTCTCAGCGCTGTCCTTAAGACCAAAGACATGACTACACCAACTCCATCTTTGATGTTGTAAAGTGTTAACTGATGGAAGGTGGTTAACTATTACAGGCATAAAAGAAGATTCCAAAGTATATAGAAGTAGCAACTGCAGAAATCAGCTACTACCCATGGGGCTAATGAGCAGTGAACAAGCAATTAACTTAAAAGATGGACCTTCCCCTTTGAGCCCAGGCTGAGATGCAGATTCTCTGGAGTGAGGGGGGTGCCTCAGGAAAATACACCCTGATATAGAAAATACTCTGTTGTGGTGGCAGAAAACCCCCACACCTACTCCATGCCCCATGAATCCTCTGGCTCCTGACACTGGAAGAAGGAAGAAAAGTCTTTTCCTTCTGTTTTGACCCTGTGGTATCCCTCTAGTACATCTACTGGCAGAAATAAAATCAGCTAGCAAAGGGTCCAGCTTCAGTATCACATAGCAGGGAAAAGATGAGTGAATTTGGACCTGAGGGCCAATAGATTAATAACAAGCTCTTAACCAGTTTTATGATTATAACTACCATCTGTATGCTACTGCCTTCTGTTTTTTTTTGTTTTTTGTTTTTCTTTTTGAGTTAGTGTCTCACTCTGGCACCCTGGCAGGAGTGCAGTGGTGTGATCACAGCTTACCGCAACCTCAACCTCCGGGGCTCAGATGATCCTTCTATGTCAGCCTCCTGAGTAACTGGGATTACAGGCATACACCACCATTCCTGGCTACTTAAAAAAAATTTTTTTTATGGGAACAAGGTGTCACTATGTTTCCAAGGCTGGTCTCAAACTCTTGGGCTCAATCAGTCCTCCCACCTCAGCATCCCAAAGTGCTGGGTTTACAGGCTTGAGCCACTGTGCCCGGCCCTGCCTTCCATATTTATATTTCTATCTCTGTCTTCTCCTTTGAGTTCCAGAGAAGGATTAGTATATCAGGCTGGCTCCTTCATGTCTGCATTTGAATTTCTCATAGGTATCCTTCCTTAACTTAATGGGTACAGAACTAAACAGTTGTTCCTCTTCTTGTTTTTCCTATCTCAGTAAATGGCATCATCACTGAGGTGAAAACAACCTTGACTTTACTTTTTACTCCATACCCCCTTTATCAGAATCGTGCCAGCTCTGTTTTTTAAATATATTCAAATCCCACCACTTCTTATCACCTCTCCTGCTGCTACCTGCTCCCAGTCATCGTCATCCCTTAACTTGAATCTGAGAAGTCACATCTTAGATTTTTCAGTACCAGTGAGTGCTTGATAATTAAATGACTACTTGTTCTCAGTTTATTCTGTAACTTTTCATTCTGTGCATACCCTGTCCTTCCCCTGTCAGATTTCATGTAAGATACCAAAAGCCTTAGAGCTCTTCAATGTGCCTGCTACATCCTTGATGCCAGGGAAAGCCTGTTTTTTGTATTTATCAGTGCAACCCTGACCCTTATTTTTTTAAATTAATATTAGCATCATTAATAATAAAATTAAGATATTAATATCATTTCTTCATGTGTGGTTTTGAGACTTACAAAGAGAGATATATCTTTCTACCTTAAAGTAGTAATTGCCTATTACCAGATTTTTTAATTTTTTTAGATTGGAAAATATAGTTTATTTAAAAAGTAAATTAGAGAGAGAGAAGAGAGAGGAGATTCACCTTTCCAAGGAAGGAGAAGGGACCAAAATTACATGACGGCAGCCATAGTTCAAAGAGTACATTACCACACCAGAATTTAGTAAAGCAATGGGAGGTTTTTTAATATTTTAAAGCATGTATAAAGATGACTTGTTTTTTGAATTTCTGATTTGTTGTAATAAAAGCTACAAAAGTAGACCTTCCTACCACTTCTCCAAAAAACTTCCACGTCACTGGATTTTTATGTTAAATAAATCTCTCATTTTTTTTTTTTTTTTTGAGTTGGAGTCTCACTCGGTCACCCAGACTGGAGTGCAGTGGCCGCTCCCGGCCACCGCAGCCTCGACCTGCTGGGCTCTGGCGATCCTTCCGCCTCAGCCTTCCGAGTAGCCGGAATTACAGGCGCGCACTACCACGCCCGGCTGATTTTTTGATTTATGGTAGAGATGAGGTCTCGCTGCCTAGGCGGGTCTCGAACCCGCGGGCTCAGGCAATCCACTCACCTCAGCCTCCCAAAGCTGCGGTATTACAGGCTGAGCCACTGAGCCCGGCTAAATCTCTCATTTTTAAAAACAACTTAATTTCTTTTAAGGTAAATATCAGTACTTTTGTTATATTCAGAAGTGAGTTAGTTTTTATTCCTGCTTAGAATCCTGTACCACTTATTTCTATAGAAAACTTTACCTATGTCTCTTGCCTCCTTTTATATTGATTTGAGGCCATGATAAAGATAGGCATTCCCTGAAATTAAGAATTTTTTTAGCACATTCTTTTGTAAAGAAACATAAAGGTAAATTGCCTAATATATACTCTATTTTTCTTTCAGGTGGGAGATGTTGCTGTTTTTCTCCTGATGGTAAAGCTTTAGCTGTAGGTCTCAATGATGGAGGCTTCTTCATGGCAAATGCAGATACTCTAGAGGATCTGGTGTCGTTTCATCACAGAAAAGATACTATTTCGGATATTAGATTTTCACCTGGTGAGATTCTATTGAAATTATATTTGATTTTTTTTTTTTTTTTTTTTGAGTCAACGTCTCGCTCTGTCACCCAGACTTAAGTGCAGTGGCATGCTCACAGCCAACACATTCTTGACCTGCTGGGCTCAGATGATCTTTCCACCTCAGCCTTTCAAGTAGCTGGAACTACAGGCACATGCTACCACACCCGGCTAATTTTTTGATTTATTATAGAGACAAGGTCTTGCCAAGTTGCCCAGGCTGGTCTCAAACCTCTGGGCTTAAACAGTCCTCTCTCCTAGGCCTCCCAAAGTGTTGGGATTACAGGCTTGAGCTACCACACCAAGCTTATATTTGATTATTAATGTGGGTCTGACAATGAGTAAATGTATCAATGTATGATTTTTATTAACTGTTATTTTATCTCAGAACTTTATTTTTTTGACTTAAAAAGGCAGTTTAGTAAGAGATTAAAAAACTCTGTATTAAATGTATATAGATAACTGGCTTAGTGTCAGTTCTGTCACTACATTTTCTGTATGACCTAGGCCAGGACACTTTCCTGAACTTCAGTTTCCTCGCTGGTAACATAAAAGGGTTAGATAACTGGTTTTATTATATTCTTAGTGCTTTTGAAATTGCAGTAATTTTACTCCGTTGATTTCTACGTGTTCATTATCTGCTATTAAATCTGCAGTAATGTAGGAGTTACTGATGTTAAAGCAAAACTTATATTGGCTTAGTCCCATTTTTTCTAAATTTAGGGGGGATTTTTTGTTGTATCAAAATTACATCATATATAATTTTTGACATTCTCTCTTCACTGAATTATTTTGTTACATTTTAAAAATTACTTTTTGTTAATGATAATATACTTGAAGATGTTACCATTTCTCATTTGACACGTCTGTCTTGTTCTAACTCATGAAACACCTAAGATTTCAAAAAAAAGAATTAGAAGAATTAACTCTAGTTGTAAAAAACATTTCCAAAGATAGACAATGTCAAGCAAATGTTTCTCTTACAGGTTCTGGGAAGTATCTTGCTGTAGCATCCCATGACAGCTTTGTAGATATATACAACGTAATGAGTAGTAAACGAGTAGGAATATGCAAAGGAGCTACCAGTTACATAACCCACATTGACTGGGATATTCGAGGTAAGACTTTAAATAACTTAATATTTGATCCAAGCTGCATTTGCTTTAGTATAGCTGTTTTAGAGAGACAGAAAAGTGATTCAACAGATAAATTCAACAGCATTGGGAAAAACAATCATTATTCCCAAAATTAGTTTTACTATATTTTACAACTGAAGATGAACACTATGAAGTTTAGATTTTTCAACACTTCACCTGTCATTCAAATGATAGTACAGTAAGTGGTAAATTGTTTCATTTGTAAAGTAATTTAAATATTATACAAAAAATATTTTTAGTCATGTTGACTAAAACCATGATGATGGTTTTTGTCAGGTAAACCTGACATACATAGTAACTTCAAATTTGGAAAATAGAAATGTCAACCAGGCACAGTTGCTTAAGTCTTTAATCTTAGCACTTTGAGAGGCTGAGGCTGGAGGATGACTTGAGGCCAGTAGTTTGAGACCAGCCTGGAAGACAGATCAAGACCCTTTCTTTAAAAAATAAAAAGCACTGGGCTTGGTGTCTCAGCCTGTAATCCCAGCGCTTTGGGAGGCCTAGGTGAGTGGATTGCCTGAGTCCGCGGTTCGAGACCCACCTGGGCAACTTGGCGAGACCTCGTCTCTACAATAAATCGAAAAATTAGCCAGGCGTGGTAGCACATGCCTGTAGTTCCAGCTACTTGGAAGGCTGAGGTGGAAGGATCACCAGAGCCCAGCAGGTCGAGGCTGCAGTGGCCGGGAGCGGCCACTGTACTCCAGTCTGGGTGACAGAGTGAGACTTCAACTCAAATTAATTAATTAATTAAATAAGAATAAAGAGCAAGCATTTTTTAAAAAAGAAATGTTAAAGAGGATTTAAAAGTAATTCCCTCATTGTTTGGTATAGAGTGCATTCCCTAAAAACAGTCATAATTGTATAACATAATGAATGTAATGATTATCTTCGTTTTTGAGCAGAATACGTCGTACAACTTTGTTTAATAAGTTTGATAAATGTTAAATATTTTAAATGCTCCCTTTTTAAGGATTTTATTGTTTCATTTATTCAAATATTATATAAATCTAGTATTGTAAATTAAAAGTTTTACAAATATTGTTTAAACAAATACACTTACTTAAAAAAATATATTCCAACATTTGTTTCTGAGGGTTTTTTGCATATGCATAACAAAATACGTAGTTTTTATGTATATACATGTACAAAAATTACACCATTCATGAATTTACTTACATATATAGAATTTAAGAAAAAAATGTTCCTTATATGTGTTGATTGCAGAGAAAAATAGCTTTTATATTGAAGTTTAATTTTTCATATAAAATTTAAACATACTAATAGTTTATATGTTTATATATTTTCTATATATGTGTGTATGTTTTTTAATTTTTTTAAGGAAAGCTTTTACAAGTCAACACTGGTGCTAAAGAACAGTTATTCTTTGAAGCTCCCAGAGGAAAAAAACAAACCATCCCCAGCATGGAGGTAGGAAGACAGTGGTGCTTATTGTGTTACTTCTATGAATAAGAGAGGTTGGAAACTAATGCCTTCTGGTCATCAGTTAGTTTCATGTGGAGCCTGTGTGCAAATTCTTCAAATTACAGATATTCTTGAGTGAGTTTATTTTATTGGGCCAGAGTTCACAGATGGGTAAGGGAAGAGACACTGTATAAGAGAAGGAGTACATCACTTGTGTGCCTGGCTGAGCACCAGTGACTTTCCTTAATAGACGGGTGGCTCGTGCTTGCCAAGAGAAGGTGCGCTGTTGAGGGGCTGCATGTCGGCCACAGCTTTTGAAACTCATAAGATGAGATGCCTGTCAGCAGATTTCTGTTTTAGAAAACAAAACAAACAAAAAACAAGAAAAATTATGTTCTGTTTTCTATTAGTAACATTTTTTTTACACAGCCTAGAAAGAGAGGCTCAACAAATTTAATATGAAAATGACTTAATAAAGGGAAGGACTGTAAGGAAAAGTTCTAAATTTCTAGTAATGGAAAACATGTTTCTAATGCATCAGTAGAAATTTAAACATGAACTTGTGTTTCTTGAGTATCCTAAAATCATAAGAAGTCATATTTATTTTCACTGTATGCTTAGCTTCTAGAATGCACAGTGCATGTACAAGAACATCCGGAGCAATGCTATGTTAAAAATTTTTCTGCAGGAATTAGTAGACTCTGGAGAACCACAAAACCAAGACAACAAATAATTCAACTATTTTGTCATTAAAATCTTAATTTTGTGACACATGTTAATGACAAAGAAAAATGTTAACATGATGGTTGTTAATTTTTTAGGTTTGACTAATCCAACTGACAGCATTTTTTTTTTTTTTTTTTTTACTTTTAGGTAGAAAAAATTACTTGGGCATCATGGACAAGTGTGCTTGGCTTATGCTGCGAGGGAATCTGGCCGGTCATTGGAGAAGTCACAGATATCACTGCTTCTTGCCTCACCAGTGACAGAATGTTCCTAGCTACTGGGGATGATTTGGGATTTGTGAAGTTATTTAGATTTCCTACTAAAGTATGAACTTTTTCTTAAGTTATGAAAGAGTTAAGATAATGCCCTGTCATAGTACTTCATGGTTGTAATATGAGTTGTACATATGCAATGTGTAACTTTGTAATATGAAAGGTTCAGAATTATGTTTCATATATATAACTTTTATCTAGAAATATTATAATTTATGACCCCATGCCTTAAGTTATATATTATATGCTACAGTGTTTTTCAGTATTGAGTAATGTAAGTATCCCTTTTAAAGGAAACATTTCAGCAGGGCTCCAAGGCACAGCTTCTAGACCTGGCTACTAGGAAGCCTGAGGCAGGAGGATCCCTTGAGTCCTTGAGCCCAGGAAGTAGAGATGCAGTGAGCTATGATTGTGCCATCGTACCCCAGCCTGGTTGACAGAGCAAGACCCTATCTCTAAAAAAAAAAAAAAATAATAACACTTACCCAGTGTTAAATAATGTTACTGTTCTTTTGATTAAATATATATATTATTAAAAGTAAATATAAACTTAATAGTTATAGCTTCAAATTTAAATTGTTTTAGCCAATTAAAGACAAAATACAACACCTATAAAATTAAACACCATTTATTTAATATAATGAATTTTTTTTCCCTGAAACCAACTGTGTAGATTCATTGGTATTCTACATAACTATGCTACTGTGTACTGTGTAATTACTCAATTATTTTATCACTTCCTTCTATTTAAACTACTATAAAACATTAGGCTTTTGCTTAACACAAAAATAAAATGTATGTATTAAGTCCAGGTGCATTTATGTCTTAATTGTCACAAATTAAGTTATTATTATACTCTGGTACCAACATGAACATAAACATAAATTTGAAATAGGGCACTTAAATCATATTATGGTATTCAGTTCATGGTGATCTTAAATAACTGTTCATGTTAATATTTTTAGATCAACGTTGAAATGGAAACACAGGTTTAAAAATACTCCTTGAAAACTCAGATACTGAAAATATTCCACAGAGCCCTGTTTTAGATATCTATATGTCTATATAAATATGTAGATACAGAGATATATACGATATATAGATATAAATGATAGAACCTTAGTTGATAAGAATGTGTTCCACTAAACATGCATTAATTGGAAGACTCACTTCCAGCATCCCAGATGATATGGATTCCTCAGCAGCAGGCTCTAGGCTGTGGGTCTGCAGATTTCTTCACCTTACTTTAGAAAGAGCCACCGTCTTAAAGAAACTGCTTTTTTGCGAAACTTTGACTTTTATTAAGAATCTTCATTCTCAGAGAATTCACTGATTTTTGCCCTCAATATGTTTTATTTAAGACATCTCTTATTTTAACACTCTTGAAAAAATGTCTACTAAAACCTGCTTATAATGCTTTGATCTGAAATTTGTTTATATAACTTAGTAGTGCTAGATTTAAAAGTTGCCAATATCTATAACTTATACTTTTCTTGATATTTAAAAGAAAAATTACATTTCTGTTCCTATGTGTAGTGATTATAAACAAAAGCACTAGTGAATTAAGGTGAAGGCTATTTACAAGGGTATATACATACATACACACATGCAATAAAGTGATCTGTAACTACTTTTTGCTAATATAGCCATGCTGTGCATAGGCCTTTATATTTTTCTCAGTTATTATGTTTATTTCCAACGGGAATAAATCTGCATAATCATTGTTTTTAATAGATATAGACTATTCCATATACATTGTAATTAACGTTTACTTTAGTGAGCATTTAAGGTATTTACAATTTTTACTTCCATAAGTAAATACCATGATAAGTATTTTTTGCATACATAGCATTTTCCTAGCATAGATTTCTAACAGGGAGATAGATGATTGAGTCAAAAGCAAGAACATTTTTATGCTTTTCATCAGAATACCAAGTTGGCTTCATAAAGAATTTTGCCTGTAGTACTAGCATTGTGTAAAACTATAGGTTTTATTCTGTCCTCAATAAGCTTGGGAATTGGTATCTTTTATTCTATTGAGTTTCGTTATTTTCTCATGTTTTTTACTTGGAATGATTAACTTCTAGTTATATATTAAGAAAAATAAAAGAAATGCAAAATTATAACTGAAAGCTTTCAAAAAATGAAATTTCTCAGAAAGATTTTTTTGAAACTTTTTCCTCTTTAGGGAAAATTTGGAAAGTTTAAGAGGTATGTGGCCCATAGTACACATGTCACAAATGTTCGCTGGACTTATGATGACAGCATGTTGGTTACCCTAGGAGGGACGGACATGTCTCTAATGGTGTGGACAAATGAGATGGAGGGATATCGAGAAAAAAGGCTTTGCGATAGTGAAGAATCTGACATTGATTCTGAAGAAGATGGCGGTATGTCATTTTATAATATTTTAACAAAAATATAGGGAAAATTTAGCACAATTTAATTTAAACTGCAGAAATTAAGACAAGTAGTAATAATGTTTGAATAATTGTGGTATTAGTGTTTTCGGTCTGTTTAACATTAAGACTGGTTTTGTGACTCAAGAACAACAGACTGTCGCATATTGATGACTGATCTTCTACAAATTAAGAGTATCTTCATTTTTTAAAAGTACTGTTGAAATTTTGTATTGTTGATCCTTATATTTTAAAATAATTTTTACTTTTTACTAATATACCAATATTACCAGTTCCTTATAGAAAATATATTTTGCAATAAAAATAACAGCGTCCATGGTGTGATCACACAGAGATAACACCACTTACAACATTTAGGGTATATCCTAAGGTGTATGTGCATTTATGTACATAATATTTTTTAAATAAAATTGGGATTATTGAACTTGTGTATTAGCCTACTGTGATCACTTAAAATACTTTGAAATCACCATTACATCTCAATAAACTTTCTTCTATGTCATTTTTACTGGTTGCACTTTATATCTTGGTTTTAACACAATTCATTTACCTTATTTCATATTGTTGACCATCACGGTGTCCAGTTTATCAGATCATAATTGATCTCCTTGATGATCATTTAAAGAATAACTCATATATTTTGACGGTAGGCTATGACAGTGATGTTACCAGAGAGAACGAAGTCAGTTACACCATCAGAGCCTTATCCACAAATATTCGTCCAATGTTTGGAATCAAGCCTCATTTGCAACAAAAAGAACCCTCAATTGATGAGAGGTAATACTTTAAAATTAGATAAAGAAAAATATGTTGGTATTAAAAAATTGAATTTGTTTAACTAAATGGATTTTTCGTTGCAAAAACTAAGCAACAGTGGTGTTCTTGTTTTATATAATTCCCAGCACCTCTTAGAAAATAGGTTTGTCTTTAAATACCTTTTGGTGGTAACACTGTGGGTAGTTTAGGGAATGATACATGTATAACATTGATATGATTAATTTTATTTGCTAACTTTTATAAATACATGTAATGGAGTTGGAGGAGATAATAAACATTGAATTCAGGCTTGGTGTGGTAACTCATGACTGTAATCCTAGCACTTTGGGAGGCCAAGGCGGGAGGATCACTTGAGCACAGGAGTTGAAGACCAGCCTGCGCAGCATAGTGAAACCTCATCTCTACAAAAAAATTTTTAAAAATTAGCTAAGTGTGGTGGCACACCTGTAGTCCTAGCTACACTGGAGGCTAAAGTGGAAGGATCGTCTGAGTCCAGGAGGTCAAAGCTGTGGTGAGCTGTGATTATGCCACTGCACTTCAGTGTGGGTCTCAGAGTGAGACACTGACTCAAAAAAACAAAAACAAAAACACCACTAATCTAATTCCAGAGACTTTTAAAGAAGCATATGAGCAAAAGTATGATTCCATTTCAAAAAGACCTGATTATTCATGTGCCATTAATCAAGCATGGACAATCATTATTTCAAACTTTTACCAAAAAAGGCAGGTTGTCTTTATGTCTAGAATCAGCAAATTAAAAATAAGGACATATGTATGGCAACTTTTTGAGGAGATAGCACTTTTTAATAAAGTCTCTGAGCTAAATGACAGATCAAGAGAGACATTGTGAGCCTGATGTTTTTAAAATCAAGGACAGAAAATAAAAAAACATGGATTAGTAAATGGCATGGACTTGGGAAGGGAAGAGGTTTTAAGAATGCTAAAGGGAAAAGTGTCTAGGAACAGAGGAAGGGAGGTAGGAACAGCAATTACTTCTGTAGAAGGCTGTGATGTGGAAAACTTTATTTTAAAAATAATTGTTTTTAAGCAGGAGGGTCTCATTCTGTTGCCAAGGCTGGAATGCAGTAGCATGATAACAGCTCACCACAACCTTGACTTCTTGACTCTGGTAATCCTCCCACCTCAGCCTCCTGAGTAGCTGGGACCACAGGCCTGGGCCCTCATGCCCGGCTAATTTCACTCTGTCACCCATGATGGAGTTTAGTGGCATGCTTATGGCCACCGTAGCCTCTATCTGCTGGGCTCAGGTGATCCTTCCTCCTCAGCCTTCCAAGTAGCTGAAACTACAGATTAAAAAAAAAAAAAAATAGAGACAAGGTCTTACTATGTTGCTCAGGCTGGTCTCAAACTCCTGGCCTCAAGCAGTTCTCCTGCCTTGGCCTCCCAAAGTGCTAGGATTATGGCCACTGCACCCAGCTGGGAAATTTAAATTTAAGTGTTTTATCATGAATGAGACAGCCTATAAATTAAAATTAGGTCACATTTTCTGATATACCAAATTTATCTGAAAAATGATAATATTTTTTCTTTTAAAAAATCAATATAACAAATGAAAGTGAGGCTGGATATCATGGTTCATGCCTGTAATCCCAGCACTTTCAGAGGCTGAGAAGGGAGAATTGCGTGAACCCAGGAGCTTGAGACCAGCCTGGGCAACATAATGAGATCCCATTTCTATAATTAAAAAAAAAATTTTTTTTTAAAGTAGCCAGGCAAGGGCCTGGGGTCCCAGCTACATGGAAGGCTAAAATGGGAAGATCACCTGAGCCCCTAAGGTTGAGACTGTGGTGAGCCATTATCGTGCCACTGTACTCTAGCATAGGCAACAGTGTGAGACCCCATCTTGAAAAACAAACAATAAATTTCCCCCCAATGCTGAAGTGAGGCATGTTTTGACAGAAGTATTTTATTGCTCATGAAGAATGATTAGCACTGTCATAACTGTTATCTTTCCTGTTAGTTTTTATTTTTTGCAGCTAACTTTTTAAAAATTATTTTTGAAATTGTTTTGCATTTTGTTCTCCATTTTACAATTTCAACTTTGCTAAATTCTTTTGAAAATGTTAAGGCAGAAGAAGTCATTAATATGACTTCATTTTCACAAATGAAAGAATCAAAGGAAATAAAGAGATACGTATTTTCTTTTTACCAACTTAGAATATATTTGTGAGGAGATAATGTGGTCTGTTTAAGGAACTGCTTTTGCATTTTAAGTAAAATATATTACTGTCACCAAGTGTGAAATAAAACACTTTATGAACAATTGAAACAAGTGCTTGTCAAATATCCACTTTAAAGGAAACTATTTCTAATGATAATCGGTAGCTACTCCATTTGGTTGTTACTTTCACTGTTTTTTTTTAAATGATCTTAATAATTTTATGTTTCTTAAATAAATATTTCTATAGCAAATCTTGTGTACTTAAAATATTTAATTTTTGTTAATAGAATTTCCAATATATTTGAATAAAAATATTGAAAACATTGTGACGTAAATCTGTCATCTTTGTATTTCTGTAGAATTCTGTTGACATGCTGCCTTTCTTCTGTTTACTAAATTGCTACATTTTGTTCATCATCAATCTTCATATGTGTTTCCTTACTTTTTTCTCTTTGCTCCTTTTGAAGGCAGGGTGTAGTAAGGTAAGTGTTTTATTAAAGAAAATATTTTTTCAAAAATTCACTCTTTGTCTTATTTTCATCTTTATAGTTTTTTAAGATACTTTTTCCTATAAAACGTTTAACTACCTTTGTCAAGAAAGAATTATAAATGGAAGTGGGATACATTCCTCAAGAGTTGCCTTTTTAGATACAATATGTGTTGTTATTATGAGGATCTTCATCATGATAAACTGGTTTTAAAAATGACTTTACAAATTTCTAAAACCTAGATAATTTTAGCTTTTCCTTCAGTTTCAGAGGCTCATACAAACAAACTTAGCTGCACATATTTTTCATTGTAAGAGTATTCAATTTATAAACCTGTTAACTTTATTTAATGTATGTCTAATCTATTCATTCAAAAACATTAAAACAGGGTAATTATAGTATTCGTATGTTTAATAAAATGATATGTATAAGAAAGAACTCTTTAGGGTGCTTTTATAGCTACCTTGAGTGAGATGAAAATGTTCTGAGCAAGTTTCTTAAACAGGACAATGTAGAAATGGCTAGTCTATTTTACATGTTGAAAGGGTACCACTAGGAGCTGGGCACCGTGGTTCATGCTTCTCATCCCAACACTTTGGGAGGCTGAGGCGGGGAGATCCCTTGAGCCCAGGAATTCAAACTAGCCTGGGCAGCACACGAGACCTCGCTTCTGCAAAAAATCAAAAAATTAGCCAGGCATGGTAGCACACACATGTGGCGCCAGTTACTCAGAAGGCTTGAGGTGGGAGGATTATCTGAGACCATGAGGTTGAGGCTGCGATGAGCCATGATTGTGCCTTTGCACTCCAGCCTGGGTGACAGAGTGAGACACCTGACTTTAAAAGAGAGAGAGAGAGAGAGAGAGAGAGAGAGAGAGAGAGAGAGAGAGAGACACCACCTATCACTAAGAATTAAGGATGAAACAGTAGATTCAAGAGCAGAGTATACAGAAACTCACATAGGCATCCCTTAATATTTGGTGAATGGAAAGAATTCATTATCTGTTTTAGGCAGAGTGATCTGTACAAAGATATAAGTTCAGAGTATGAACTAAAAGGTCCACATAATCTTAGATGATTCTAGCAGAAATAAAACACCCAGATCTGACCTCGTACCTAGAACTACTCAGTAATGATATCTGCAATTTAAAGGCGTCTCTGCCTGTCTGCAGTAGTACGGAAGAAAGCAGAGAATGAAGGGAGGTTGGGAGGACACTTTTTATCAAGAATAATTATTCTGTGAATCACTAGTTTCAAAACAAGAAAACTACATGGAGATATAATTGCTGTCTTGATATGAATAGCTTTTTATGTAGAGGTCACCTCCCTGTCACAAGCAGTTTGATGCAGATTATAGATGACCACTTGTCATCGGTGCTGTACAGGGATGTTCTGGACATGTAAAGAAGGTTCCTGGCTTCAGTGGGATGTTGGGTGAAATGACTTCTGTGATGCTTCCCATTCTGTTTCAGTCGTTATACTATTAAGAGAGAAAAAAAAATATATATATATATATATATATATATATTTTGAGTCAGAGTCTCACTTTGTCACCCAGGCTGGAGTGCAATGGGCATGCTCATGGCCACCACAGCCTCAACCTTCTGTGCTCAGGCAATCCCTCTGCCTCAGCCTTCCAAGTAGCTGGAGCAGCTACAGGCACATGCCACCACACCCAACTAATTTTCTGATTTATTGTACAGACGAGGTCTTGCCAAGTTGCCCAGGCTGGTCTCAAACCCCTTAACTCAGGCAGTCCTTTCCCTCTGCCTCCCAAAGTGCTGGAATTATGGGCGTGAGCCACCACACCCGACCCTGAAAAAATATTTTTAAGGTTACTTCCTTTATTAGTAAAATCCTAAGTCCAGCCTGCTTCTGTGTAACTCTCTGGCTACTTGGATCTGCTGCCTGGGGAACTCTCTTAGGTCAGAATAGGCAGAGTCCTTAAAAGAAGCTCCAGTGCTACCAGCCTTTTAAGTTGACTGACATTTTATTCCTCATTTTTAAGAACAAAGATAAATATTTTCTTTGAAATTTAGATTGTGGAAAAATAAGAATGGTGAACTTTAAAGTTTACAACATAAGCCATATGGAATTTTCACTTAATTTATTTTTCCTTTTTCACCTTCTTCTGATTTCCCTGCCATTATGGGGTAATTTAAGCCTTTTCTTATGTGCAGTAATAAACTAAAAACAACAGGTCTTTAATATATGCAATGTAGTTTATCTAAATTAAACTTTAAAAAATACTTTATTACAGGAGGTATTTTACTAGTGTTTTAAATTCAGATATATATTGTCATCTTTTCCCTTTTTTATCTGCTGCTTAAAAGAGGTTCCAGGTAATTGTCTCTTTGCTATGTTTACAAGGCCTAATTTTACATTTTTATCATCTTTCATGTTTACCATTAATGAACTATGTTTCTTGGTGTTCTTTACCTCTGTTCAGTTTTCCACCTTTTTTTCCCCTTTGGAATCAGTATCCCTGAAATGAATAGCATCTTTATTGGGCTTATAGTATATAATTGACTGTTTTATTAAAACTTTACTTGCATTATTTTGTAAGTTGTAAAATTTTATTTAAGCAATCATATACCTTATAAATGGTCTTTATAAAAATTAAAATATAATTAATTGTTTCATAGGATTGTATGGATTAAAATTACCTGTTTATTGTTTGAGTTACATTTAAAGTAGTCAGACAGCATAGAATAAAGTTCACCAACAAAATTGACTTGGAAAAAAAACCAAAGCATCTATCATTCTTCAGGCTGGTGCTAGTGGAAGTGTTTTAAAATATTAAGTGTTACAAATTCAGTTTTATTTTTTACTTATGGATATCCAAAAAGTATATGAAGATGATTTAAAAACAAATTTCTGTGATGATGGAGCATTCATTTATATATTCTTTGATAAGGACATTTACTTTTTGTGGCATCAGGTACTCACACTTATGTGTTCTCCATGTTGCCTCATATTTCATAAAAAAGACCCACGTTTATTTTATATTGCATGTTTGAAATGTAATACATCATTTACTCTTTATAGATGTGTAACTTGACAATCATTTTGAAAATGCAAATCTGTTTTATGGTTTTAATTTTATGAGATTTATTCATAAATGTTGGAGTTTTTTCACAGGAAAGTTAATTTGAATCATTTTCTGATTTAGATGTTGCAAATTGAATATTAACTGAAAACTGGGGAGAGGTTGATGCATGATTGATTTAAATTCAGTGTTCAGGTTATTAAATATTTGAATGATGATTATTTGAGGTAAAAAAATAAAATAAATAGTATTTTTTTAAATTAGAGTGTTTTGGAGCACTTCCACATTTAAATAATTCAAAATGTGAATTCTGTGCACCTTTTGGGACATGGGGCATTATAAATGAATTCTGAACAGAGAAGGGATGCCAGATTTGAGAGCTGCTCTGTAGGAAAAATTGATAAATGTTTAGTAACTAGTGAGAATAAGGAAGAGGAGGAGTTGGAAGCAGTAGTAATAATGATGACCCTCTACAGAGTGCTATGGGTTTCCAGTGCTTTGTGACTGTAAAGTGCAATGCCATTAACTAGTGCTGGGGACTTCCCGAAGTAGAGGTTGTAAAGGGCAGGGAGGAGCAGGTAGTGAGTGCACACCTGAACTCATAAGGGATCTGTGTTGCCAGCGGTACACAAAACTCACAAAAATATTGTTAGAATTCGCCATCAAGGGAACGCATCTAGTACCTGCCATGGGCAAGATACCCTGTAGATTCTTAAGTACAGAAACCAGGCTTTGTTGGTAATGTGCCCATGGAGATGTTTTTGAGTACGTTAAGCTAACATTTTTACATTTGTTTATAAATAGCCTACTCTTGTCCTGTAATATTATTTCCATTATGAAACATACACAAAGAAATTTAAAGTGAGTCAAAGTCCTGATGTTTTCTTTCCACCTTCCTGCTTTAGAAGCTATCAAGATGCAGAGGACATTTGGGAGACACAAGACAGGGTTATTGGGAAAGTAACAGGCGCCTCTGGAGGCAGGGCAGAAGGCCCTGTGAAGGCCTTCCTCAGACCTACTTCTCTGTTTTAGGCCTCCTGTGAGCCGGGCCCCACCACAGCCAGAGAAACTCCAGACAAACAATGTTGGCAAGAAAAAAAGACCCATAGAGGTAAGGAAAATCCACTCTCCATTGTTACTCAAGTGGATCACACCCAAGTCTTGTCATTAGTTTCCAAGAAAACAAGTGCATTGAACACTCTTTTTTGTTTGGTTATAGAAATTGATTGCTTAGCTCTTAACCAAATCTGAGTCTTGCATTGATATTCTGTTTCTCTTAATTTTAAAAATTAGTCTTTCTTTTTACTTTTCTGTGAATAATACCCTGAATTGAATTGTTTCTCAGGGAACTCCTAAATATTGTTATATATGAATGATCTTTTGCATATAGAAACACAGACACCTTGGCAGTGTCTCATACTTAGTTGTTTAAATTTATCAGTTAAAGAGTAAACACTTAAACCAGATCAGGAACTTGGACTGTGTGATGTCACTGTAGAGAGTTCATGAAGATTTACTTCTTCTATCTCTGCTTCCAACCAAAGAAACCTTCCACAGTAACTGAGGAAGAAGGTAGGTTATCCCAGCATTTTATAACCCCAGTATCAGCAGCAAACAAGCAAACTGCTAAACCAGGCACAGAAAAGGTGTAAAGCTGTGGATGGTAATTGCTGTAGCTTCCTCCCCTCCCCTCCCCTACCAGCCCTACAAGGTTAATGAAAATGTGCATTTTCAGTTCAGAATTATCTGCCTGAACTTGAGCATGAGATCAGAGACAAAGTATTAGTTTTTTTTTTCCGCAGATGCTGAATGTACTATTTGAATTCTTCAAAATACATGATTTGGAGATAATTTATCCTGAATATGTATGTAGATCAGACATTTTGACTAACAGTGAACATGAATTAAAATTTTTTTCCTTTGGACACAAGTATGGTCATCTCTTGGTATCCGTGGGGGAATGGACCCCCTGCAGATATACCAGAATCCAGGGACACTCAAGTCCCTGATATAAAAGCATATAGTATTTGTATATAACCTAGTCCTTGATCTAAAATAGCATAATATTGGCATATAACCTATGCACATCCTCCTGCACACTTTAAATCATCTCCAGATTTCTTTAATACCTAATACAATGTAAATGTTATATAAGTATTTGTTATGCTATAGTTTTAAATGTGTATTGATTTTTATTGTATTGTTATTTTTAGAAAATATTTTCTGTCCAAAATTGGTTGAATCCTAGGATAAAGAGTGCAACAGTACCTCAAGGTTGAACTCGTGAACTCCTAACTAAAATTCTTGGAGTCAGACTACTCTGGGATTTCGTTTTCCTTTTTTTAAAATCTGTATAGAAAAATATGGAATGTATTTTTCAGCTGCTCTGAACAGGCTTTGTAGAGAAGTGTGACTCATTTTATTTTGTGTTTGAAGTTTGTAAGACATCAAAAGGGCATCCTCTATTTTGACTGAAGACACTAGCATTCCACATACATCAAAACAATAATGAACATTAGACAAGTGAGTAAGATATGATTGACAATGGTTTTATCATTATTGTCTCAGGACCTGGTGCTGGAGCTTGTTTTTGGTTATCGAGGGAGAGACTGCAGGAATAATGTTCACTATTTAAATGATGGTGATGACATCATTTATCACACTGCATCTGTTGGAATTCTGCACAATGTTGCTACGGGTAGGAACCCCTGATTCTTCACCTCTCCCTACTTTTTTCCATATAGGAATTTTTGTCTAGCAGCTTATAATTTTTTGTTGAAACTATAAATCATTATTTAAATGTATAAGAAAAACACGACAGAATAAAAATATTTTCTATTTCAGAATTTTCTAGTAGTATTTTGAGTTACCACCTTTTAATTTTTAAGAGGGTTAACACATGAAAAGGATTTCATAATGCAAAGTACTCATAGGTCTCTGCTGGAAGTGGGAGTATACTATATGCAAAATCATGTTTTATAGTGAAACTATTCGTAACGAAACTTATTTCCACATGACCTCACGTGACAATGGGTGGCTTCGATAACTGTCTGTGTAGTTAGTGAATGAAAGTAGTATGTTGGATGAGTATTACTGGGGGCAAGAGATTTTTACTGAGACCTTGGAAAGCCAAGGAAGAAAGCTAAGAAAGCTGCTTGCTGGGACTCTGTGATGATACGGTGGAAACATGTTTCTTGATGTTTATTCAACTGATTGAATTGTCAAAGAGCAAGTAAATTTCTCCTAGGAACATCTGATGACCAGTGTGATACTCCTACTAGTGACGTTAAGTATTTAGCTTTGAATGGTTTTATTAGATATAATTGCAAACTTCATAAAGTTTGAAAGTTGAAAGTAAAAATAGAGATTACCACATTCAAACATTTCTAGCTTTTCCTCTGATAGCTTCATTCTGAATGGGTAAAGAGTGGATTGATTATATGAATCATAATTCCCACAACTGGTCAATATAATCATTAACATATTTTTTCCTGAAGAGAAGAATTCACCAGGATCATGAAATCAGTAGCAATTTTCCATTTAATTATTTGGGCCATTTAAAAAGTACTGCTTCCCGGGTGTGGTGGCTCATGCCTGTAATCCCAGTACTTTGGAAGGCTAGGGTAGAAGGATCACCCAAGCCCAGGAGTTTGAGGCTGCAGTGAACTGTGGTCGTGTCACTGCACTCCAACCTGAGTGACAGAGTAAGACCCAACTCAAAAAAAACAAAAAAACTTCAGTACCTTCCCCATTGCTTCATAATAAATGTAAAATATAAATTAATATGGCCCAGAGAATTCTTCTCTTTAGGAAACCAGAACAGAATGATCATAGCTAGCATTCAGCATTCTTCGTGATTCTAGTCCCTACCTGCCTTTCCAACCACATTGTTTGCCTTTCTTCTTCATGACCCTATACTTCAGTTACACATAGACCCAACACTTTCCTGCCTTTATGCCTTCACTTAAAGTGTTCCTTGACCTGGAATGCCCTTCCCCACCTACTTTTACATTAACAAAATCTGTCTAGCTCAACCCAGGAGTACCATATTCTCATGAAGTGAATCCTCCTTTCTGCTCTGAATTCCCTAACGCTCTTGTGACACCTGGAATCTTCAGCTTTGTATTATATGGTGTATGCCTTTCAGGGGATAAGACTTTAAAGACTTGGAATCATTTTCTATCCTTATGATGCTACAGCCATAGTAAGTACTAAAAAAGTAAATGCTGAATAAGCAAGTAAGCTAAAGAGGAGATCAGTGCTCTGGACAAGTACCTTTGGCTATCATGTCTTAAAGTTGCCAAACTTAATTCTCAAATTCTTTTTATGTAGGTTCTCAGAGTTTTTATCAGGAACATAATGATGATATTCTGTGCCTCACTGTAAATCAGCACCCCAAATTTATCAACATAGTGGCAACTGGCCAAGTAGGTATGTTTCTATATTTTAAAAAGAAACAATTTGAAGCATTTGTTTTGTTCAAATAAATTCAACATCCTAGGGGAAAAAAATTAAAGTATAATATATTTATGGATTGTTCAAAATCTGTGTGTACATAAAACATCACTCAATTGTACCATATCATTTGCTTCCAAGTCCCTTTCTCTCCCTTTCTTTGACTATCCGAGTCAGTTCAGACAATTCAGAATTTAAAATAAGCTATCATATGGTTGTTGAAATATTTGGATTTAGTCCTGTAATAGGAATTTCTGGTATGTAAAAATATTTAATTCAGTAGCATATAAAGCAGAAAAGAAGAATTTGATGAGAAAACGGCAACTAAAGGGAGCCAGGAAAGAACTAGACTGGGAGGGGCAGAGCACAGTTTTAGCAGGGGTTTAAAGACTGGAAAGAAGAGACCCAAGTTTCTTTTTATTTTTTTTAATCGGAGTCTCACTCTGTCTCCCAGGCTAGAGTGCAGTGGCATGCTCACGGCCACCGCAGCCTCGACCTGCTGGGTTCAGGTGATCCTTCTCCTTCAGCCTTCCAAGTAACTAGAACTACAGGCCTGCGCCACCATGCCCGACTAAGTTTTTGATTTATATAGAGTCGAAATCTTGTCATGTTGCCCAGGATGGTCTCGAACCCCTGGGCTCAGGTTATCCTCTTGCCTTAGCCTCCCAAAGTGCTAGGATTAAAGGTGTGAGCCACCGCACCCAGCTCCAAGTTTCTTCATGTGGGTAAATCTCTTCTGCCTTGTTCTTTTCTTTGGCTGTGATCTAATTCACCAGCTATTTTTTTTTTTTTTTTTTTTGAGTTGGAGTCTCACTCTGTTGCCCAGACTGGATTGCAGTGGCCGCTCCTGGCCACTGCAGCCTCGACCTGCTGGGCTCCGGCGATTCTTCCGCCTCAGCCTTCCAAGTAGTTGGAACTAACAGGCATGCACTACCAGGCCTGGCTGATCTTTTGATTTATTGTAGAGATGAGGTCGCGCTGCCCAGGCGGGTCTCGAACCGGCGGGCTCAGGCAATCCACTCACCTCAGCCTCCCAAAGGCGCAGGATTACAGGCTGAGCCACCGAGCCCGGCACCAGCTATTTTGAACTGTTTTGAAATATACCTGTCTTCTTTGACCTCTGTGAAAAACTTAAAGACCATAACTCTCCCAAGCAAACTGATGAGAGGATAGAAGGTCTGTTTAGGACATGTCTGCCTACCCATGGTCACGATGAATGTGGTATAATAGATGTGGTCAGTCAGATCTGTGCAACCCTCTTATGGCTTTTCAAAATTACTGAAATTATTGGATTTGCTAGCTCTCAGTGGGCCTCCATTGCTAAGCTAGCCTTCTAGGGTCTTTTAAATATTTATTGTTCTTTTTGGTAAAAATCATGTAGAACATAGAAGAATTGAAATATTTGATTTTGTGATATTTTAGCCAGTTACATTCAAACTTTTCTTTTTTTCTTGGCTAAAATCTTGGAATTTGGGGACCAAACATAAGTTGATCTCATTCATTATTGTGTGCTTGAACTCCACCACCACTTAATGCCCAATGAGATAGTCTAATCTCTCCCTTGGAAGCTCAGTTATGTAGTGGCTCTTCATGTGGAATAGAAATCTGTCTGTCTGGGATTACTTCTCATTGGTCCTCATTGTTGGGGTACTTAAAACAAATAATCATATTCCCCTGATACTGTCTTCCAATTTTGGAGATAACTGTCATGTTCTCCCTGCATCTTATCCCACATTTCTCCAGAAGGCCTGCTTTTGGACACCTTCAGCTGACTTCCATGGAATGAGGTGTACATGACAACAAGGATTGCTTTCTGTGAGGAAGCCCACCATGTTGGTCCATATGACATCCAGAATCCTCTACCAGATGGTCTTGAACCCACTTCTGGGCCTACATGAGCCTTTTCTCTGAGTCCATTCTCCCAGTGACCAACTGTACATCCACGTGTACACTCTTAAGGGATGGTCACACTGTTTGTTGGGTAGGGCTGGATGGAGTTTTGATGGGATAACCACATGTCTTAGTTTGAGCTGCCATGACAAATACCTTAGACTCAATGGCTTACCCAAAAGAGATTTATTTCTTACAGATCTAGAGCTGGAAGTCCAAGATGAGAGGAAGCCCAAGTAGTCAGGTTGTTGTGAAGGCCCTGCCTGGTCTGCAGATGGCTGCCCTCTCATTATATCCTCACATGGCAGATAAAGGGAGGATCTTTCTTCTGTCTCTTATGAGAATGCTGATCTCATTGTGAGGGCTCCACCTCCATGACCTACCAAAGCCCCACCTCCTGACAAGGGATTAGGGTTTCAATAAATGAATTTGGGGAGAACACATTCATTCAACCCAAAACATCATACATGAGCTTCCAAGGCCCCTAGTGGCATAGGATGGAGCCAGGGTGGGAAGAGAATGAGACAGATTGACCTATGCCCCAAACTCCAAGTTCTAAATTGATACCAGGCCTTCCAGGTCATTACAGGGATATACTCATCAAGATAAGCGGATGGATTATATTTCACTTGATAACTTTTATCTTGATCGATAACTTTAAAATATTTAGAGCAGTTATGTTTAAGTCTTCCTTTGTACTCATGTCCCAGGCCCTGTACAAGCTTGGTCTTCAAACCAGACACTCCTCGTCTTTAACAGTCTTCATGTGGCATAGTTTCAAGTCCTCTCATCATTTGGTTGTTACCGGAACATGTTCATAACTAGAAACAATATTTCCTATGTGGCCTGCTCAGCAGAGACACATAATTTATTCTCTTTCCTTTCATATTCCAAGCCAATACAACATGAGCCTATGCTATCAACACGTCCTTAAAATCAACACGGATATAAGGCTTTACCAAAGCAAAACAATCACCTATCTTCTATGGCTTTCTCAATTTTTACTCCTTTCTTGCTATAAAACTGTCACTTTTTAAAGTTTGATTAGTGGGTATTTCAGCCACAAATATAATAAGAATAGGCTTTCATATTTTCTTTCTTGGCAGACTTTTATTCATATGAAAAATCTTTTGTTAAAAGAAAGAAGTTTTCAGCCGGGCTCGGTGGCTCAGCCTGTAATCCCGCGCCTTTGGGAGGCTGAGGTGAGTGGATTGCCTGAGCCCGCGGGTTCGAGACCCGCCTGGGCAGCAAGACCTCATCTCTACAATAAATCAAAAAATCTGCCGGGCGTGGTAGCGCATGCCTGTAATTCTGGCTTCTTGGAAGGCTGAGGCGGAAGGACCACCGGAGCCCAGCAGGTCGAGGCTGCGGTGGCCAGGAACGGCCACTGCACTCCCTTCTGGGCGACAGAGTGAGACTCCAACTCAAAAAAAAGAACATTTCTTCTTTCTTGAGTTATATGATAACCTTTGCCATCATGTCTCAGAAAGTTTAGAGCTAATTCTTCCCTGGGCATAGAGGTGCATTCTTTAAAAAAGGCTGAGTGTGGTGGCTCATGGCTATAATACCAGCACTTTGGAAGGCCGAGGTAGAAGGTGGGAGGATTGCCTAAGCCAAGGAATTCTAGGTTATAGTGAGCTGTGATTGCGCCACTGCAGCTGCTCTCCAGCCTGGGTGACAGAGCAAGGCCCTGTCTCAGAAAAGAAAAAGAAAAAACAAAAAACTCAAAAGAGCCTATTAGCAGTATATTTTATAAACCAAAATCATGGTCATATCAATTTAAAATAGCAACATTATTTTAAAAGTTGCTATAATTAAAACGTTATGCAACTCATTAAATACAAAGAAAGTAAAGCTTTTATTCAAAGAAAGATTGAAAAATCATACACAGAATGTTAATGTCTATGTATAATTGAAATGAGTTCCTTCAGTCAGTTTACTCAATTTAATGTAATAAAACCAATCGAATATATAATACTTTATCTAAATTATGTTAAATGATTGTTTTGTGATAATTGGGTTTGTTTGTTTGTTTGTTTGTTTGTTTGTTTGAGTTGGAGTCTCACTCTGTAGCCCAGGCTGAAGTGCAGTGGCACATTCACGGCCACCCCAGCATTGACCTGCTAGGCTCCAGCGATCCTTCTGCCTCAGCCTTCCAAGTAGCCAGAACTACAGGCACATATTACTACGCCCAGCTTATTTGTTTGTTTGTTTGTTTGTTGTAGAGATGAGGTCTCACCAAGTTGCCTGGTCTGGTCTTGAACCTGCAGGTTCAGGCAATCCACTTACCTTGGCCTCCCAAAGTGCTGGGATTACAGGCTGAGCCACTGAGCCCAGCCAATAGTTGGGTTTAAAATTTTTTACCGTTAGTATTTGTGTTATTTATGGATAATTATTTTTCTTTTATAGGTGATTCAGCAGACATGTCAGGTAAGGAAAATTACACATTTTCTGTTTTATTTATGTACTTATGAAATTGAACTTAAGTTTAAGTATCTTATTGTGCTCTAAAAAATTTGTGGATTTGTTTTTTTAATGAAGAATACATTGTTTTAATATTAGGAAACTGACCTCAATCTGTGATTATAATAATAGTTTTTTAAAAACTAATATATTTGTGTGTGCCCCGCACTGTTTTAATTACTTGACATATAATTACCTCATTTAATCAACACAAGAATTCTTCAGAGTAGTTACTAACTTGCCAATATCATATAGCTGGTAAAAGTGGAGGTGGGATTTAAACTTAATCTTAAATATAAATCAGTAAATTTTATTGCCTAAGGATAAAAATTTTCAAATTATTTTTATACCATCTCAATTATTGCACATATTAGATAAACAGATAATTTTTAAAATTAAAAATAACTTATAATTGATTTGACCATGACTTTATGAATTTAAAAAGCTATTAAATTAATAGGTGTGTATCCCTTGTTTTTAGATTTTATAATAACTAGACTTTTTAACTGTATTTTCAGTTAATGTCATATAGTAAGTACTAGCAGGTTGATGATAAAACATTTCCCAGCGATTTGTATCTATTTTCCTCCCCCCTCCTTCTAGGGTGAAGCATGATTTTTGTGATTTGACTATTCAGCCACAAATTCATTCAACACAACAGGCAAGGTTATTGCTCTCTTGGGGACGTTCAAGAGCAGAGTTTGGCAAACTCTGTAGTTCATGGGCCAAATCTGCTCCACCACCTATTTTTATATAGCCATGAACTGAGGATAGTTTATACTAATTTAGAAAAAATTGGAAAAATTCAAAAGAACAAAATGTTATGACACATGAAGATTATATAAAATTCATATTTCTATATCCATAAATAAAGTTTTATTGGGCACAGTTGTGCTCATTCAGTTACATATATTCTATGGTAGCTTTTGTGCTGCAGTGACAGCTACAGAAACTGTATATGGCACTCTCATCATTTGCACTGCTGCTTAGCACACTATAAGTTCCAGTGACACAATTAGATCTTTACAGGTTTTGAGCATAAACATTTTATTTTATATTTTTAACCAGTGAAATCTTATCATATCATATTTTAAAAAATCATTTTTGAATGTCTCACTTTTAAGGCACAGTGAAGTGTGGATTGTATTGTTTTCAAATGAAATGACAAGCATTATGTTTATTATGCATTGACAGCATAGCTGTGCTTAACAAATGCCATATACCTCAACATCTTCACACAAAGCTTCATTACAGTATTCCTAACTCCTAGGAAAGCAGCCGTCAGAAAAATTAGAAAACTTTAAACAGAATATCTTATCACAGCAAAATGTTTTCACAAAAATAAGAAGAAGAAAAAATGAGCTACATCTAAAATAAATGTTTGATTGGCTCATTTCTTAGCCAGTCAGGAAAAGCTGTTTTTTGACAGTGAGTTAATTAAATCGTGTTTGATTGCAACAGGTGAAAGCAGTTGTCAAAAAGGAAATATTGAGTAGTATCAAGTAGTCGATAAAAAGCAAGACAAAAATAAAAGCGAATGATTTTGAGGTGGTTTCCCTTGGCTCCTGATAGCTTGGCAGAGGCTGTTATCGCTGCCCAGTTGTTGTTCAAAGTACCAACTTTGAAGAGAATGAAGAGGTAGTATCTGTGAATAGTCTCCATGGAAAAAATATTTATGAATAGTAATATATTATAAAAATAATGTTACAAAAAATAATATTTTCAAAGAGATTAAGAAAACATTAATTCAGTACAACCTGAAGTGGTATCTGCTAAGATGTTTTACAGTTGATAGTGTAAAAATATGTGTGGAGCAGAAATATGTCGTTGGATAAGCTTACAAAGCTTGTGAAAATTTAAGGTGTTTAAAGTCTGTGGTTATTCGTTGTTTTATTCATCAGCAGACAATTGTGGTAAATATTTCAATCTATCATTTGCTGTTGAACCTCAATATTTTGTTAGTGAGCATCAACAGTTCATTTCACTCACTCTCAGAGGCAAAGCTACCAGCAGTTCCATGAGTTTATGTTATCGATAGAAGCTGGACATCCCAACTTACCCTGTCACAGAGCAGTTCAATGATTCATCAGTGTTAAACTTTTATTGCAATTTTTTGACTCGGAGCCAAGACTGAAATTTTTCTGAATAAGAAGAACTGTCCTTAGTCACTGTTACTGAACACTGAGTGACTTTGGAAATTACTTTTTTCTGTGGACTTGATAACATTTCTTAATTAGCTTGAAATTACAAGGTAAAACAGTGCTCATGTGAAACTTTGGTAAAGTCATTTGATGATAGCTGATAATTTGCACCTCAAGTAGTGTTGAACTGTGTGATGCCCTTCTCATGCTGTGGGAATTAAAGAAGGGGACCCCCACTTCCATATAGATGTAAAGCAAATGTATTTTCTGGGCTCAAACTGCAGTTCCAGCAGAATTTTTCAGAGCCTGATGCAAAGACAAAAATTTTCCACATAACAAAAATTTGTTTAATTCTCCAGTGGAGGAACTTCCCCCTAGCCTTCAATTTTAAGTGATTATTCTGCAGTGTAATACATGTGAAAGGCAGATATCAAGACAAGTCTCATATAGAATGTTCCAAATGTCTTCCCAGCAATTAATGTGCTCAGTGAATATCACACGCCTGTAGGTTGGTACCTGTGTTTGGCAGTACCTATCTCTGTGAAAAGACATTTTCAAGGTTGAAATGTGTAAAATCTTATTACAGATCAGCATTAGCAGGTGAACATTTGCAATTAATTTTGATGATAGAGAACTCTAACTTTGAGCCTTAATTGAATAGAATGTTATCTCTCCAAAAAAGAATTGTATTCTTCTCATTAGATCTTTATTACAAAATATTTTACGGAGTGAATTTCATCAATTACAATTTTGTAGAAGTTTGCTTTCTCTCTTGTTATACAAGAACCTACATATCTTCAGATTCGTCTCTTATCTGACCTTTACAAAAAGCAGTTGCTGACCACTGCTTCAGAAGGAGACAGAGAATATAAATAAGTAAATTTTTAAAATAACTTGATGATTGGGAGGGTAGTAAATGTGATAAAAGCAACAAATTAGATTTTTGTACAGATGTCAGTGTTTGTTTTCTCAGAGTGGTAGCATTTAGCTGGTCCAGCAATGACACAAAAGTGACAACTGAAGTGTGACCTGGGCTTGAGGCTGAGGCTGTTTCAGGTGTCCTGAGGCCTCCCACACATGCAGTGGTTCACTGGGAGAAATTGCAGGACTCAGAGGTGGTTGGATCTAGGGCTCTAGTGTATTGCAATGAACAGCAAGGGGAAAAGACACATGGGTGAAGTCTGCAAGATCCAGTCCCAGGCCTTTCTTGTCTCCCCCAACACCCTCTGGGAGTTATCCAGAACCTGCTTCCCCCTCCAGCAGCCAAATCCAGCAACACATGTGGGATGTCTCTGCCCAGGGATGCCCACTTAAGTCTCAGACTCCAGGGTTTTATTAGTCACTGGTCACACAGGCGTAAAGACCAGCCACAGCTACCAAAGTAGCAGACTCCCAGGAGAAAACAGATGTTCAATGTGCCTGGCAGACAAAACAGCCTTGTCACCTAGGGTACATTTCACAGGTCGAGTTTTACACTCTAGCCAAGTGCTGGTATAGCAAGCAGGCAAGCAGGCCCTTCTAAGGACAGTGACTTTCCTGTGCAGCCCCTAAGGCTGAACCTGGAAGGCTGGCGTGCAGGTGATGCCTCTCGGATGAATTGGGAGTGGTAGGGTCAGCTCCTGCAGGGAACTGTAATACAGGGCAGGAGTTGGGCTCATGCCAAGCTCAGGGAAGGAGTTGGGTCATTGGAGATTTTCCACCAGGGAGTGATGTGTTCTGATCTACACTTTGGGAAAACCACTCTTACAACATTGTTGAGAATGCAGAGTGAAAAGTGAGGACATTGGACAATTAGAAGGCTATGACAGCAGTCCAGGCAAAGACAGTTCAATGGGGTTGCAAGAGTAAAGGCAGAAAGAGGTATTCTGGAAGTAAAGCTAGCCCTCCCTGATGAGCTGGGGGCTGACAAGCAAGGAGACAGTCACTGTGAGTTTCCTGCCCAAGCAGTGAGGAGGGAATGAGGTGTGGGAACCTTCAGGAAGAAAACACTCACAGATGTTTGGAGTGAAGTTCATCCAACATCCCTCCTGTACAAAGACAAGAAGCCTGGTGGGTGTGGGTGGAAATCAGGAAGCCCCATCTTATGCCTACTGTTTTCTCTACGTCATCAGCTGGGGGGCTGGGCATTGACTTGAAGAGGGATAAAGTTTGTAATTGTCTCTTTGGAATGTGGGAGAATACATATATTAGAAAAGATGTGTAATTATTACTGAATATATGAAGTGTGTTTTCAGTGGACACTAAGGTAGCAGCTTTGTCTCTGACAGTTATTTCAGCACTCCAAGACTGTATCTGGAGTTAGGAGCTGGCCTACATTGTGATCCTGAAGGCAATTCTAGGAGCGCGCTCTCCCTCAGGTCGTGGTTAGCACTTGTCATGACATTTGCCGATCCATTCATTAATGCTAGTGGGCCTTTGTGTGTCCTCTGCAGCAAAGAAAGGAAACCCACTAGCGCAGGAGTGGAGAGACAGGGCTCCGTGGTACTATCCAGAACCAGGAACTTCATGTCCTCTCTGCCGTCCATAACCTCAGCTGTACCCATGAGGCTGGTTGCCTTGCAGTCATAGAAATGGCTGCAGTGGCAGTTGAAGTAACATGATTCCTTGCTCTCATCCAGTGGGAAAGAAAGAAAAAAACCCTTTCAGAACCAAGATCTAAAAATCCTAGGCTTGGTGCAGTGGTTCATACCATAATCCCAGAGCTTTGGAAGACGAGGCAGGAAGATTGCTTGAACCCGGGAGTTCAAGACCAGCCTGGGCAACATAACAAGACCTGATCTCTGAAAAAATTTAAAAAATAGCTGTTCGTGATGTCATGCACCTGTACTCCCAGCTACTCAAGAGACTGAGGCAGGAGCCCAGGAGGTAGAGGCTGCAGTGAGCTGTGATCATGCCACTACACTCCAGCCTGTGCAACAGAGTGATACCCTGACTCAAAAAAAAAAATTCTTCCTTTTAGCCTGATTGAATCATTTTAGGACACAGACCAAACCTTGTACTAAGAGGATACCAGGGGATACCTGTGCTGATTGGCTGAAATCAGGGTCACTACACTAATCCCTGAGGCCAGTGCTGGGGAGGAGAGGAGTTGGGTGGGAGCAGTGTTTATCAGAGGGGGCTCAGACTCACTACCATTTGCTTCCCTGAATCACTTGCTCTACACAAGGTGGGGCAGGGAGGAGTCCCGACTACAAATGGAGCTTTTTTAAGAAGAAAGGGTGAAATAGGTGCTGTGTCTGCAGCAGAGTCACTCACTGTAGAAAAGAAAGGGCAACATGTGGTGGACACACCTAACAGCCCATGTTAAAGTCTTGTTTTAACATGTAGTTTTTATTACATGTTTATAGAGAAAGGATGTCCTTTAAAACTTGGATTCTTAGGATATCCAATCATCATTTAAAAAGACCTTTAAGGCATGTCTGTACAGGAGCTGTAAGTCAAAATGGTTGTGAGAAGTTACTGGGATTGATTGTCCAGAGGGAGCAAGGTGTGGTGGAAAGAGCTAGAATGGAGCCTGGATACTGACAGCAGCACACTGTACTGGCTCCACCAGGTCTGAGGTATTAGGGCAAAAATGTATCGTGTAATCTACTGTACATATTTTCATTTTAAATTAAAGCCACCTACCGTTCCTTATTAAGATTAAGTTTATCTGTGGCTTGGGATACTTTGACTTTTAGTGAATGAGGAACATTCTAATTTTAGTCCAGTACTTAAGTTATTTCAAGTATAAATAGTATGCTATATGGTAAACTTTTATGTCTATTTCCATATACTTTCGATATTTTAGTTACCTAAATCTTTGAACAATTTTTACTTAATGCTCAAATTTAAATCTATGATTTAACATAGTTTAACTGTTTGAAAAACCGTCAGACTTGATTTATCATTGTGTACTATAATTGGCCGATAGTGTAAAATATAATCTAAATTTATCATAATATTTTCTTTGGAAACCAAAGTTTCTTTCTGCATTGAATGATTTAAGGCAGCTTGTCTTATTTAATGCTCCTCTATTTTTTTTTTTGAGACAAAGTTTCATACTCTGTTACCCAGGCTGGAGTGCAGTGGCATGATCTTCTCACGATGGCCTCGAATTCCTGGGCTCAGCAATCCTCCTGCCTCAGTCTCCCAAGTAGCTAGGACTATAGGCATGTGCCACCACACCTGCTTAATTTTTCTGTTTTGTGTAGAGACAAGTTCTCGCTATGTTTCCCACACTGGTCTTGAGCTCCTGGCCTCAAATGATCCTCCTGCCTTGGCCTCCCAAAGTGCTGGGATTGCAGGTTGTGAGCTATCACGTCTGGCCTGTTTCTCTATTTGTAAAATCTTTATAACATTTATAATTTGAAGCAAATGTACTTCAGTATTTTGATTGTTTTACTAAAAGTACTGATGTTCTGAGACTGAATTCACTGCTGAATTGACTTATTTATTCATTTTTGTATTGTGCAATTCATAAAAAAGCTGTTTTTTTATTTGGAAAATACAGATAACTGGGAGCATTTTTTTTAAACAGCAGAAACAGGCTGCACAAGATGAGTAATAATAAATAATCTTTCTTTTTAAGATTAGCAGTTTTAGCTTTCTCGTGAAATTCTGTTTTTAACAAAAGTCCTATGAAGTACTGTGAGCCAGCTTTTTACCAGATGTCTGTCTATATGGCTGGAAGCTTATCTTGGGATCTAGTTGGTGATTCCTGTCATGCCTCCATCCACTGATTCATTTTTCAGTTCACACAACATCAGTTTGGGATGTACACCTGCATTTAATATTTATTGTGTTTGTGTGTATCATTCTCATATAATCGTATAAAGATTTAAAATGTACATATAACATGCTTTATTTTTGATGAGATGTTTAAAGTTGCGATAGCCCAATTTGCTTGTCTAAATGCTGTTTTCTCCAAAGTACAATTTGGAATATAGCTTGAAGAAGTGTTCTGTATTTTTTTCTTTTTCTCTTTTAAAATTTAATCTTAGTTTTGAGCTGTTCTTTGTCAAGTACAGTTTTTTCTTGGTATACATTTTTCCATGTTTTAAAGATGAGTGCATCAGTTTTAGAAATGGAAACATTTATAATGGGTGTATTCCATCTTTTGGATTCTGCCTTTATTTAGGTACAGCTCCTTCCATCCATATCTGGGACGCAATGAACAAGCAGACTTTATCTATCCTACGATGCTACCACTCTAAGGGTGTATGTTCAGTCAGTTTCAGTGCTACTGGCAAGCTGTTGCTGTCTGTGGGACTAGACCCAGAGCATACTGTTACCATTTGGAGATGGCAGGAAGGTAGGATTCTTTGTGAGTGATTTTTTTTTAAAATACAAAGATACAAGGGTAATACAAATTCTGTATTTAATACTTGCCTTAAGTTGGTGATTTAAACAATTGTTCACTGTAGCCCTGCACAATGCATAGTTCACAGCTGGCATGACTGTAGGTGTGTCTATGGCCGCACCACCCTGGATGCACTTGATCTTGTCTGTAGCCATGTTCCACTTTGAAAGCCCAGTGAAACTGTGGGCTCACAAAACAAATCAATTAATGAAACCATTATTAGTATTCTAAATGATGCACTGATATTTCTTTTCTTTTTTAATTTATTTATTTATTATAGAATGTGGGGCATTTAAAAAAATTATTTATAATATGAGGGTGCCAAAAAAAATGTATACACGTCTTAAAAGATGTTATCCATGTTATTCAAAGATGTTATCCATGTTATTCAAAGTTGAATTATGGTAGCAATGTGTAATATGATGTTCGCTCAAAAGAGGGCGTTAATCAAATGAATGTTAGCATCACCATTCGACAGGCAAGACAGTCAAAGAAATGACAGGAGCATAGTTGTCGTTTGAGGAGCTCAAGACCATTTTGAAATGGTGTTTGAAATTAGAGAAGGTTGTGGAAGTACAATGATAATGGAGGTGTGAGTATGCAACAGAACCTTCAACATGCCTAACTATTGCATGTATCTGTGACAAGTTTGAGATGCATGGTCCTGGTGTGATGTGCACAAGGGAAGATTCGGAAGGCCTCACACAGCAACAAGTCCTACAATAGTTTTCCATAATCAGAAGTGTCTGGATGTTGATGGTAACTACTTTGAGCAGCTCTTGTAATTGCAGAAATCAAACTTAACTTGTATTCATCTTTTAGTATCAGTATATATTGAGTATTACAATTTTAATATAGTTTTTATCTTTCTTAAAATATGTATACATATTTTGGCAACCTCTATAGGGTTTGTGGGGTAAGCTTTTTTTTTCAGTAAGACTTACACTCTGTGTCTGCTAATTACTAATGATTTGATTGGTTATGGAGGATCTTAATAAAAATGAACATTTGTATATTCTAAATGATAATGGAAGAGAAATTGATTACTTCAGATAAAACTTTTAAGTTATATAAAGAAAAGTTCAGTGTAGTGACTCATTCCTATAATCCCAGCACTTTGAGAGGTGAAGGTGAGAGGATTGCCTGAGCCCACAGTTTCAAGACCAACTTGGGCAACATGGTGAGACCTTGTCTCTACAATAGATGAACAAATTAGCTGGGTGTGGTGGTGTGTACCTGTAATTCCATCTACCTGGAAGGCTGAGGTGAAAGGATCGCCTGAGCCCAGCAAGTCGAGGCTGGGGTGGCCATGAGCATGCCACTGCACTCCAGCCTGGGCAACAGAGTGAGACTCCGACTCAAAAACAAAACAAAGTTTGACTTGGCGCAGTGGCTCACACCTGTAATCCCAGCACTTTGGGAGGCGGAGATGAGAGGCTTACCAGAGCTCAGGGTTCAAGACTAGGCTGGCCAACTTGGTGAGATCTCATCTCTAAAATAAATTAAGAAATTAGTCGGGCATGGTGGCATGCACCTGTGGTTCCAGCTACTTGGAAGGCTGAGGTGGGAGGATTGCCTGAGCCCAGCAGATTGAAGCTGCGGTGACTGTGAGTGTACCACTGTACTCCAGCCTGGAGTCAAGTGAGACTCCAACTCAAAAAAAATAAGAAAGAAAAGTTAAGTTAATGGAGCTACACTATAAAAAAATAAGACATGGTCCCTAAAATCCAAAGTGGCTCTTACATGGTAATGAAGCTTTTCACACACACCATGCTTGTGTCCAGGAAGTCGAGGCTGCAGTGAGCTGTGATTGCACCACTGCACTCCAGCCTGGGTGACAGAGTGAGACCCTGACTCAAAAACAAACAGACAAACGACCAAAACCCAAATACACACATCACTTGTGAAGATATGTGAGAAGGACTCACTGCGCCTGTGATTGTCACGTGACTGTAGGCAGCCAGGCCAGGGCCATGGCAGGATCTTATCAGCATTTAATCTTTGAACTGTATATTTTCCATAATGATTTGATCCTAACTTTTGGTCAACTTGGTTCTTGTAACTTAGGTCATTTTGTTGTATCTTCTTTATCAGGTGCCAAAATTGCTAGTAGAGCTGGTCACGATCAGCGCATTTTTGTGGCAGAATTCCGCCCAGATTCAGATACGCAGTTTGTTTCTGTGGGAGTGAAACACGTGAAGTTCTGGACCCTGGCGGGGAGGGCTCTGCTCAGCAAGAAAGGGCTGCTGAGTGCCCTGGAGGATGCCCGGATGCAGACCATGCTGGCTGTGGCATTTGGTGCAGTATGTCTCTCCCATCGCGTGTGCTGTTGCTTTGACTACTTTAATCCTCTCGCTTTAGAGCAGAGCTGCATTAGTGTTGTAGTCACCGTGTTGTGATCTGCAGGGCACTGCCTGTCCTGGTCAGGCATAGGTTTCACCTTCCAGAAATGCAGTTCTTTGAGAAACTGGGGAGTGGAAAAGAGACTTACTAAGAGGGGAGTTTGGCGAAACATTTGAGACCCCTCGGGCTCTCACCATTCTCAGAAGCCTCAGATCTCATAATTGTCACCCTGAACATCCCCACTCTTCTGTCTTCTAACAGTTCCTCGCGGCCCCAAAAGTTTGAAGAAGCATGATTTTCCAGGGACTTAAGGTGGTACTTGGGTTTAGGATTTCCTTGGCTTTTTCTCATTCTAACCCACTGTTCATCACAGAGCTGGAAGTGCTCTGGGCCAGTGTCTGTTCAGGGGAATAAGGAGTAGAGAGACAAGAGAGCGTACCTGCTGGTCTCCTGGAAGCATTTAGGAGCCTGCCCTCCCTCCCCTCCTCCATGCCTGGGCCAGGGCTTCCAGACACATCTCTTTCCTCTAAATCTCTGCTCTGACTAGGCATTATTAATCCTTAGTGTATCAAAAACCAAAATGGATTGTTAATTAAAGTGTTTATGTGAGTATGCAGTACTTGCAGGCAAAAAATTATTTTAGAATCTTTAACTACACTATGCTTTTGAGAAAAAGACCATTGAAAATGTTGGTTATGCCATGTCAAACTTCAGTTGAATGTTTTGAGTATTCCTAATATGAAACCATTCATTCATTTCCAGAAGAAAAGCCCGCACAGTCACATGCTAGTGGCATTTAATTTGCCTGTATAGCTTCACATTTTCACATATAAAATTCCTCATGTATCAGATTGCTTCTTGATCCCGGGGGTGGGGGGGGTGGAAATTCCTCATGTAGTCAGTTGCCCATTCCCAATAAAAAATAAACTTGAAGACTAAAATATTAGGAATAGGAGACTCTGTGGATGAATCAACAGTGCAGTCATGGGAATGTTTTCTTGTGCATATCTTCCAAGGTGGGCTTATGTTCAGATGAAGCATTTTTGAGCATCATTTATGCTGGGGGCCGCTGAGAGCAAGGGAGGTAAAATACTGGCGTCCATACCTGAAGCTTTCACATTCTAAGTGAAGGCAGGCACAGATTAATGATGCCCGCAGACCTGGGTCTTACTAGTGATGTCTACATGGGCAAGGGGCATCTGGAGAGCTCTCCCAACTTTGCTACCGATGGTAGTTTCTCTTTCTGTGACAGCACTTTACATACCTAATAGAAGGTGTGTCCCCTCCCATTTCTGTTCTTTCTTCACTGTCTGTCACTGGCGACCTTTAGATGAAGTATAGAACAGCTGGAGGGAAGCAATCCCAGGGACCACTATGAACTAGAGCCTGTTGGAACTGGAGGATAGATCGCCCGGGGCCGTTCTAGCTGAGAGGTGGCAGACCTGGGAAGGGAAGAAGGCTTGGAGGCCAGGCCCTGAGGTCCAGGTCAGCTTCCTGACTCCCTCCTGGCCTCCTCCCACCACACATGCGGGCTCTGTCAGGGAGACGCGTCACGCATAGTAGAAAATAACATCTGTGTGAACTTTTCTTGACTTTTGATGAGTTTGTCTCCCCCTTCCCCACTCCTTTTCAGAATAACTTGACGTTTACAGGTACCGTCAGTGGGGATGTCTGTGTGTGGAAAGAGCACGTATTGTGCAGGATCGTGGCGCGTGCTCATAACGGGCCCGTGTTCGCCATGTACACCACCCTGCGAGACGGCCTCATTGTGACAGGGGGCAAGGAAAGGCCGTGAGTCCACTTCTCTTCTCAGCCCCCTGGGAATCTGGGAATCTGGGAATCTGGGAGCCGACTGAAGGGTACCGTTAGTAGGGAGTTCTGGCTCTTTCCGAGTACACAGAGGGCCCTTCTGGCCCTCCTCCACACATGCTCCTCCCATTGCCTTTTATGGGCCTTGTTGGTTCTCCTGTCTGGTCCTAAATTCCTTCTGAGATTTTTTCTTGTCTGGTGACACTTCCTGAGGTGTGAGTGGCTAGTGTCCTACAAGCTGAAAACTTGGTTTCCTTCTTGTCTCTATTCCTGTGTCAGTGTGGCTGAGTAACAGGGGTCCCTGGGGAATCCTGATGCTGGACCAAGGGCTTTGACTGCCTGCTCTTCTTTTTTATTCAGCCTGGCCACTGGGGGATAACATGCGTATTGTTGTGTCAGAAAAGAACAAGACCAGAGGCAAGCTTTGCCTCAGTTGCTTTTGCTGGAGGCAAACTTAGTTTAAGTGCTATACATGACATCAGAATCTGAGGCTGAGAGGCCTTTTTCTGAGTGATTTTCAAGTCTCCCACAGTAACCACATCCTCATGATAGTCATGCCACCAACATAGTCCTGTGCATGTTGAAACATGCCACATAGGAGACTTAAGAAGTAAATTTTGATACAGGATGGAAAGAGCTCACATGTGTTAGTTCTGCAGAGTGTGGGAACTCTGCCTCTCCAGGAGGAAGTGTGCTGAGGCTGCTTCCTGGGTCCAACAGTGCAGCCAGCAGTTCTGAAGGAATGTGTGTCCCTCCTTCCAAGAATATCCAGAAGTGGGCTCTGGGTCCTCTTCCATGCGTCACTCAACACTTGGGCTTACTCATGTCGCCTCAGTTTGCCATTCACTCGTAGCCTACGACACGGTTTCAAGGGTAGTTTAATAGTGGTAGAAAAGAAAGATGCTTCCCTTTCCCTTAAAGATAAACTCTGGAGCACGACTTGGTAATCGTAATCTCTCACCTTACATTTCCATTCTCCTGCTAATGCTAAACATTGCTTTTTACATCTCCTTAATCAAGAAGTATTATGAGGTGATAATGTGTGGTGGAGGCTGAGTAAAGCCATGCTTATGTCAGAAAAATGAAGAGCTTACAAAATACAGTTTGCTGAAACCACATATTTGACTGAGATATAGCATATCCTAAAATGACCATAGAAAGTTTAGAGGAATATTAGAATTATAAATATCAGGGATTTTGTTTCTTAGTATTCCACTTATAACTTAGTATTTGTTTGTAATACAAATTATTTGTAATAGTCAATAATCAACACTTATTTGGGTTTGGATATTTCCTAGGTCAAAAGAAGGAGGAGCAGTTAAACTGTGGGACCAGGAACTGCGACGGTGCCGTGCCTTCAGGCTTGAGACAGGACAAGTCACAGATTGTGTCCGTTCTGTGTGCAGAGGCAAAGTAAGATGCGCGTGAGCGGACTCGGTGCAGCAGGAGAAAGAGTGCCCATTGCAGTTCGCTCTCCCTTGCAGCTTAGCAACATGTCTGATCACGTGGAGATGGACTGGCTTGCCAGTGCTCCTCCACCTCTCCTCACTGCTTTTTTTGTGGGTCCCCAGTTGGCACCAGTACAGTGCCTTAGCGTGTCTAAATGTTCTGTGGCAATTCCTTACTTTCTTAAATCTGCTAATTCAGCTATGGTTGACAAAGCTGAAAATCCTTGCCACTTGACTCATTTTGACTAGGACAACTGTCTCCTTTAAAAAACAAAAAATGCCGGGCTCAGTGGCTCAGCCTGTAATCACCGTGCCTTTGGGAGGCTGAGGTGAGTGGATTGCCTGAGCCCACGGGTTCGAGACCCACCTGGACAGCGAGACCTCATCTCTACAATAAATCAAAAAATCAGCTGGGCATGGTAGCACATGCCTGTAATTCTGGCTACTTGGAAGGCTGAGGCGGAAGGATCGCTGGAGCCCAGCAGGTCGAGGCTGCGGTGGCCAGAGCAGCCACTGCACTCCAGTCTGGGCAACAGAGTGAGACTCCAACTCAAAAATAAATAAATAAATAAAAATAAAAAACAAAAAACAGGCCGGGCTCGGTGGCTCAGCCTGTAACCCCAGCACTTCAGGAGACCGAGGCGAGTGGATTGCCTGAGCCCACAAGTTCAAGAACAGCCTGGGCAACTTGGTGAGACCTCGT